ATATATATATATATATGGCAAGATTATTGATGTTACCTGTGTTTAAATGAAGATTTAGACAATTTTATAATTGTTGAATGATCTCCAGTAAATTAAAAATATTGGTTTTTTTTTACCAATAGCTTTACTAAGAAATAATTTGCATTTTATAAGGTCATTACAAGATTATAGTTCAGTGATTTTTAGTAAATTTATAATTGTGCCATCACCAAAATACATTATTATATCATTTCATTTCTCTGTATTAAACCTGGCTTATGTGGTAGGGTTGTGAAACTCACCATAGTCTTTCAGCCTATTGCAACATGACTTTGCTGCTCCCTCTGTTGAGGGTTGGAGTTGATTTTCTTAGTCCTTGAATTTGGATCTGACCTTGTAATACTGGAATGAAGAATGGTCTAAGTGCTGGTTCTGAGCCTCAACCTCAAAGGGCTCTGTGTGTTTCTTTCTTTTTTGTCTTTTGTTCTCCCTTCACCTCTGGCCTTGGACATAGGAGGCTAAATAAATAGTATAATTGGGAATTGAGCAATAAGAAATTGCTGTTCTGTGATTACAGGTACCATCTGCAGTAATGAAATGGAGAGTAGTTTAAACATTTATTTAAGTTAGAATACTCACCAAAAAAGTTTGTACTTCTAAGTCTATGCTTAATGTTTATTTTCTCCATGGAATTTTTACTGTCTTGATAGAAGATAGTGGTAGTTAAAGTATTAGGCTAAATGAAAGTAAAGTCAAGGCCAGTATCTCCAAGCACAGATGACAGCAAGCAGGAGAGATATGGGATTTTTAAGATGAATGCTTGAAGATTTGAGCTATTGCTTTTCATATCTTGACTATAATCAATTGAATGTTTAGGTAAAATAGTCAAAAATATATACTAAGATACATTGCATTCAAAATTTTCCATGGAACAGTCCTACCCTTTGTTTATGTGTTGAATCTCCGATATGTTAGTATGTCAGGCAGTGCTTAAGGGTATAGCAGTATCCCACAAAAGAAACAGACTTTGCCCTCATGGAATTTATATTTTAGTATAAAAGACAGATGCTGATCAAATATACAAATAATGTCAAGCTGGAGTTGTAATAACTGCCATGAGGAGAAGTTGTTGGTGCTATGGAAGTTATCACAGGGTGACCTGGCCTAGCCACCAAGGTTAGAGAAGCTTCCTTAAAGAAATTTGTGCTAAAATAAAAAACCTAAGGAATAATTCATAAGTTTCATAGGAGAGTGATCCTAAGTCCTTTAAGTACAAGGGATGGTAGTGAGTATAGGGCTCTATCAGGGCCCAGTGTTTCCGGAATACAGAGCTAAGGGGAGGATGCTGTTGAAATGTGGGGGAAGATGAGACCTAAGGGGTACCTAGGACCAGCCAATGCATGAGTTTAAGGCAGAAAAATGGCATCTGAAGGACTTGAAGAAGGAAAGAGGGTGATGTGATCATATTTTGCATTTTTATGCAAGTCACCTAACAACAGTACAGAGAATAGATAGAATGGCTGTGGGTAGACCAGTTAGAAACTCATTACAGATACAAGTGGAGAAATGATAACTTTGACTAGGACAGGGGAGGGGACTCGATAGCTACATAGAAAGTAAAATGGATGTCAGTCATTTTTACATTGCTACTATGGAAATAGTTTATTAAGAAACTAAAAGCGATAATTTATTTGTATGGGTTTTTCTTGGTCCAATAGTGTTACTACCTATCACGACAATCTTGGATGAGAACCAGGACTGAGGAAAATGATACGAGTACAGTTTTATGCAAGGTGAAAGTGAATTGGCTTTGAGAAAATCAAGGGAAGGAGGCAAGGGGACATATGAATGTGAAGCTGTGACTGATGCTGTGATTGGTGAGTTGGTACAGCAGCCACTGGGGCTGAAGAGAAAATGGGCTATCACTGTGTCACCTGAATCCTTCCTGGACAGCCAAAGTGTGCTAGTTACTCCTCCAGTAAGATCAGATACATGAAATTGGATAATTGTCGTAATCTAATGGTGAGAGAAAGTTAGGCATTGTGTTAGTCAGGCTTTTACTAGAGAAAACAGATATAACATGAGATATACATATCTCATGCATAAGAAATGCATATGCATAAGATATGCATAAGAAATGACAAGTTTGGCTTATGATGGTAAGCCACAGAGTCAGATGCGGAAGTGTGCAGAAGGTGGCTGCACTCTGGAGGCCGAAGGATTCAATCCAAGTCTGGAGTTCACCCTAGCATCTCATGCAACTCTGCACCAGCGGGCTGATAGGTCTGTGACAGAAGGCCAAAGGCCCTATGATGGAAGGCTGAAGAGTCTATGCCGGAAAGCTGAAGAGTCTACACTGGAAGCCAGGAGAGGATGTCCAAACCAAAGGCAAAGACTGGAGCTTCTCCAAAGAATGGAATCGGCTCTGCATGTTTCTACTTGCTTGTTGGAGCTCTGCTCTCTCTTATGAGCATAAAGTTGGGCTATCCTGTTGGAAAATGAAGAGAGATTGGAAAGCACTATGTTTGGAGTCATGAGGAATGGAGATTTGAAAAATACATATTATAAATTCTTAAAAAGGCAGTTTCAGTAGGCAAAACAGATCTTTACACAAGCAGCTGTAATGGAGAACAATTTCTTGCTACTAAGATATTTATGTTGAAGTAATCTCTCCATTCTGCAAGTAACCATGCTTCCCATGTCTTTCAAGTTCTGAAGCGTGATTGTGGGATGGGAGTCTGTTGGAAACTTCCCTTCACCACATTGACCAAAACTGAATTTTGTTGGTATATCCAAGTATGTGTTTGAATTACAGGAAATAGTCTATATGGTGGCTTGGCCATGTGGATGTTTCTTGTAGCCAAGGGAACACAAAAGCAGACTTGAAGTTAGCCAGTGCTGAAAGAGAACAGAAAGAGGAGAGAGAGGTAAGAGGAAAATGTCTCAAACTCTAAAATCAGCTGGAACTTTGATTTCAAGACCCATGGCTCCAGAAGTCTTGTGATTGCTGACCTTCAGCAGTCTCTGAATTGATAGGTCTTCTCCAAGAAGCAATCAGACAGCCCAGGGAAAGAGCTTGGCTTGGGAGCTAGGTCTTGAGTTTTGGTCCTTACGTTGTGGTGCACTCTCCCTTGAGACTTGAGCCAGGTGATTTCAAAAGTCTCTTCTCGTTCAAACTATCTGTAACTGATTCACCAAGCTGGAGGAAGAGACTGAAATCAGAGAACAACAAAGCAGCAGAGAAAAATGCCTGGCATGTGTGGGTCTTGGAGAGACACAGCTGTTTTGGAAAACTTTGGCAGGCTCTGTGGGGAAGCTCAGCATGGTCCTCCCCTCATTTGTGGGCACCTTCCCCACTTCTTCATGAAATGTATGGAGTATAGCTGCCTGTTTCCAAGGACATGAGAGGTCCTTGATGTCCCCGTCCTGTGCCTTGTGCAAGGTAATCTCCTGGGTCCCTGGCTAGGGCCTGTTAAAAGCAACTTCTCTGGTCTCCAAGAACAGAGGTGTCTGTGGCTTTTCTTAAAACATTTCTAGAAGTCTGGTGGTGAGAAAGAGAAGACACTTTTACAGTGCTCTTTAAGCAACTTTCTTGGAAGCAGGGATTAAATCAGTATTCCCAGTATTAGGGTCTCATCCCAAAAGGACAACAAGGTCAACAATTTCAGGGAAATTTCTGGGATCTCTTTGAGGGAGAAACAGTTCTTTTTACCTCCTACAGAACTCATGGACACTTGGAGGGAAGAGGTGACAGAAATACCTGGCCTGTGCAGGCTGAATCACCAGAAAGTGACCTGGCTCTCCTGCTGGGAAAAGCTAGCTCCTAATACAGGCTTTCAGATTAGGCCTTAGGCAGTGATTCTCCAGGAGAGAGCTTGAAATAGACAGCTATTCCACTGAAAAATCATTCTGCTTCCAACCCCAGAGGGCTGTGGGCCAGTGGGAGGCTTCTGTCCTCCTGTGGTGGGGTAGCGGGAAGGGAGGGACCACTGTTCCCCCAGAATTCAGGGATCAGTGTGAAATGCAACTATATCCCAAAAATGCAAATGGAGGCTGATCAGGGTGGCACATACATGTAATCCCAATGCTTGGGAGGCTGAGGCAGGAAGATTACTGTTCAAGGCCAGCCTGGGCTACATAGCAAGGCCCTGGGTCAAATAAAACAGAACAAACAAAAGCAAAGCAAAGTGTACTGACATTCAGTCTCTGCCCATCTTCTGTAGTGCCACCCTCTGTCATTCTGTTTTCCTTTCTCTATTTGCTGTCCCTCTTGGAGTCACTGGCCATTGGAAGCCCGGCCAATCATTATAGACCATCTGTATTAAGACTTTTCCTTTGACTCAGAGTGTAGGTCAGGGGTTTGATTGAGGCACGGCATAGACAGCTCCACCACACCTGCAGCCTTGGGCTGGAAGATTGTAAGTTGGAGGTATTTGAGTTTATGGAAGGCTGAGGTCTTCAGGGTGATCCCCTTGAAGGCTGGCAGGAGATGCTGGCTCTGTGCTGGGGCCTCCTGAGTTATCTCATAGCATGGAGCCTTGGGCAGTCAGATTTCTGGCCCAATGGCCTTGGATTCAGAGCTCCAAGGACAGAAATAGGACAGAGCTTCGGGACCTTCCCTCCTTGCTTCAGAGTCAGAGTATCACTTTTGCTGTATTCACTTGATTATAAGCAAGTCAGAGGCTACTCAGATTCAAAGGGGAGGGGTGTGGACCCACCTCTCCCTGGGAGGGTTGTCGGGAGGGTTGTTTGCAAAGATGTGGGAATTGTATAATCATTTTTACTTTAAAAGACTTAATTTCGGAGAATGCAATGTTGAGTGGAGCATATGGAGGTTTTCTGCCTACGCCTTCAGCCTCTCCCATCACCGGCACCCCCACACCCCATGGCCTGCTGCTAAGCTGCTGAGTCACACTGACCCACCCTTATCGCCTAAAGCCAAGCGCTTCCCTTAGGCTCTCTCTTGGCTTTGCACATTCCTTGAGTCTGAACAAATGCATGAGAACATGTATCCACCAGCATGGTGTCACCCACTGCCTTTGTGCTTTACCAGCTCTACTGTAGCCCAGACCAGGCCCCACATTGCTCTCCATCAGTTCCCCTGTAAGGAGCTCCCTCTCTGCACTGCTCAGATCCCAGGGACCCTCAGAGGTGAGCCTGGGAAAGTGGGATGTGTGCTTCCTGGCTCTTGGATCATGGTTGAGTTGAAAAATGCAGGTCTTCTGGAGGGCACTCCTCCTTGTGTCTGCTTTTGCTCATCCCTGGCCCTGCTTGCCCCCTCAGTTCCCCACTGTATGCTGATACTCTGCTCCTGTGGCCGATGCCTGGGTTCAGGTCCCTGGGTGTGGTGCTATACTCGCTCCCCTGTGCGTCCCAGCTGCATGAACAGAATGCTAATGATCTGTGTGAGGCACAGCATGGCTCTCTCTTTGGTAATGTCTCTGTGCCAGACCTGACTCACCCGCTTGCCTGAGATGCTTTTGTTCTCTGTGGATGACTGGGAGAGGAAGGCTGTCAAGCATGTTTCAGAAGGCCCTGCCTCTCACAGGGCCCAGCACTGTTGCTCAGCAAATGATTGTGGAATAGACAAACTCTGGATGTGTCAGGGTAGACTCATGGGATCTCATCCAGCCTCATTCGCCAGAGAATCTAAGGACATTTGTCAGGAGAGTCCTGGATGATCCTAGAGGGGCAAGCAGAATGGCACTGGGAAGAGTATCCATGCATGTGTCCCTGTGTGTGTGTGTGTGTGTGTGTGTGTGTGTGTGTGTGTGTAGGGATGGATAAGGGCAGTTCTGGTGCAATGTACTGCAGGTTGGGGCCACCAGCATGTAGCCACACCATGGTCACCTGGCCTGCAGATAGTCTGGACCTCTGTCCGTATTTCCAGCATTTGAAACTTTATTGGACCTATCAAATCAACCTTTGCAGTGTCAAGTGTCTAGGAAACTCAGCCACTGCTTCCATTTTCCTCCCCAAAATGTATGGAAAACCCACCAGAAACTCTAGGTAAACCTGAATGACCTATTTATAATGGAAAGGAGTCCAGGACTGTGGGGTCAGTGGGAGAAATAGTAAGAGTAACTACATTAATCAATCCATCTAGCTGGAGTCACTGGGTTCCCAAGAAAACATTGAAGAATGGCTTGCTTGTTTCTTCTTCAAAAAAGAAAAGGAGGCTGTGATTTAGCTCAGTGGCAGAGAGCTTGCGTAGCATGCACAAGGCCCTGGGGTTCCATACCCATCAGGAGAGAGGAAGAGGGATAAGGAGGTGAAGGCAAGGGAGGAGATGGGGTGGGGGAGAAGGAGAAGGGAAGATTTCCTGGTTCTCTTTTGCAGTGAGGAAGCTGCCCATTGAAACAGTAATCTTCAGAGAAAAGGTCCTGCAAACTGCCTGCAGTTGACGAAGCGGATTCTGTTGCTCTGAAATGTGATCTTGCCTCTTTTCTTTTTCATCCTTCCTTGTGCAGATCCACAGCCGCCAGTGCGTTGGCTCTCTGTGCTCATGTGCCAACATTGTGGAACTGTATGAACAACTGCCCATTAAAATGTGGATGGTTCTCTCCAATCTACAGATGAGAAAACTGAGGCTCAGAGGAGTACAGTAAGTTGCCCAGAGCATACCATTAAGATCATTTATCCCTGAACACACACAGGTGTGCATTAGGTTTTGGAGACAAAAAGGGATGGATACTGTAAGCTGGTTCTGATGCACAAGAAGTTCACAGTCTAGGTGAGGATGTCAAGGCATTAGACAGCCGTATGGGATGAGCCCTGATCATCCAGAGGACGTTAGAGCAGCATCATAAGAGGAATCTACTGTATTTGCAGAGAGTGAATGAAGACTTCTTGTGAGCTGTGTGGCTTGGGCTGAGTATCAAGAATCAGCTCAGTGGAGAGAGGCTGTGGAGGAGAGAAGGGAGCATGAGTGACTGGACAAAATACAGACTGGACCTCAGCAGCTCTGTGCTAGAGGCCACTGTGCCCTGTGCTGGCACTGGTCAGGATGTGTTAGTCTGGGCTTAGGTGGCAAGCACCCTTCCCACCTCTCTGTTTCTCAGCTGGCTGATTCTGGGCAGCACACTGTGTTTGGGCCTTATGGGGGCCCTAAGCTCCCAGATGTCTCTCTTTTAAAATCGCCAGTGCAGTTAGCAGAATCCAGGAAACCCTTACTGGAACTTCTATCCTGAGGCTTCTAAAGATCTGGAGCTGAGCTGAAGGCTTCTGAACCACAGAGAGAAAGTCAGTGTGTCCCACAGTGCTTTATGGCTGCTGCTTGGCACTTTGGAGAAAATAGCACAGAGGCCTCCAGGAATGATGGTCCTGGGTTGCTGCCGCAGCAAGGCCCAGTGAGTCAGAATGAGGCAGCAGTTATGTGCACCAAAAGTTCAGCTGAAAGCAAAAAGGGCATTAGCTCAGCGGCAGAGCATTCCTGAAAGCGGGTGTGGTCTACCTGTGCTGAAGATCTATTGGCTCCTTGCTCCTTCAGTAGCCATAGGGGCAGTAGGGGCAAAGGATGGGCTGGGAGACCAAGGGATCTGCATCTAAGGTACTAATTACTAAGAAAACAGACTCTTCCTAAAGGATACTCCTTAAACTGGCCTCACTATTTGGCTTTCTTGCTCTTTCCTTTAACAGGTCATCTCCTAAAGACTCTTGGGGGTCTTCCAGCTTATACTTCAACTCATAATGCAAGCCTAATACAAGTAGATGGTGTTCCAGTCCTGCTGAGAAAGCACTGTAGGAAGAGTAACTCTGACCAGATAAATGAGGGGAGCTCTGGAAGAGACCACTTCTGGTGTTGAACCTAAGATCTAAGGGTAAGGAGCTAGAAGTAATCTTAGTATTCTCACAGATTAGGAAACCAAGTTGAAGAGAAGACGGAAATGATAGGCGGAAGGCGAGAATGAATGAGACGTGGACCAAAGAGAAACACCCTGTCTCTTGACCCCGCTTCTATCTTTTGTACACACCAACCTACATCCCCTGCTACATTCTGCCCATTGCCACAATGTTGAAAGCACTGTGTAATTATTTTCTAAATGAGTATCCCAGCTACCTTTCTCTCACTTAGGGAAGGAAGATAGCAGATGGACTACATCACACTGGTTTTGCAGGTTGGTGCCCATCACGTTGTCTAATACAGAATTCATACTAAGAATGTGCCTGTAATTATCTTTCTTTGCCTCCCTTTCTCTCCCCTCCCTGTTCCTCTCCTTTCCTCTTCCCTCCCCCCTCTTTTTCTTTCTTTTCCTTTTTCCTTGCTTCTTTCCTTTTGTGGTGCTGTGCTAGGTAAGTTAAGTACTCTACCACTGAGCTACACCCCCAACCCTTCCCTATAATGTTTGTACCCTTTGCTGTGCACACTGAAACCCCCATTTGGATTTGGTGGAACATTTGGATTTCAGTAGGATCTCATGGTTCACAGGTTTTCTTGTCTATTATCTTGTTCTGGCCCCTGTTCAAATATAGCTACCCCTATGTTTTCTGGGTTATTTTTTGCATTCATAATTTTGACAGTTAAATCTCTCTATTTAATCTTTGCTTTATTTCTCTGTTTCAGGAGATTAGCTAGCATGTCTAATCGAGCAGCATGTCATGTCCCGTGGCTCCAGGCCTGCCATTCTGTAGCATACCAGAGTCAACCACAAGCCTGTGCTGCCAGCCTCGCCCATGTCAAGGGTGGAGATGGGGCTATCACTCTCACCGTGTTTATGCAGCCTTCTATGCCTACCTGCACCCCAGAACTGGAAGCTTTGGAGGGCAGAACCCATTTGATTTGGACACTGTCTGTTGCACACTCAGTACCTAACATAGCTGTGGCACACTGTAAGCATTGCAGGATGAAGGAATAAATACGTTAGATGTGAGATTCTATGCATGTGCGTCCTGTGGTTTAGTGAATCTTTGTGCTCCCACAAGGTCCAAAGGCCCACAGATTGGAAACCATGGATTTACATTTACACTGAAGGTGGCGTACTTAGTGCCATGTTCACCACAGAGAATTTTGTGTTCAATAGACCACAAATGCTCGACTCTGGGTATAGATGAATGATGGCAGAGCCTAGATGAACTGACCTCCCAAAGTCCTTCCCCACATGGAAAGTCCATGGAGAGGACAGAACACCTAACTTTCAAGAAGCCTGCAACTTCCTGATGCCTGCAGAGACAGGCACATTGATGACAGCTTCTCTCAAGAGCCAGCTTATAATATTTGTATGAGGAAAGAGTAAGCTAATCTGCCAGAGCCCATAGGCAGCCTTGGTTGTTATTTCAATCCCAAAGATGCCTGCAGATGTACTTCACCTGTTTCCTCTGTCAACCTATTTGTGTGGAGTGTTGATAACCGAAGCGACACATGGTGAATACCCTTTGTCTTGTAAGACATTTGCTAGGAGTGGAGTTGAGCAGGGAAATATAGAAGTTGAAAGAAAGAATGCGTGGTCTAAAATCTGTGTATGCATACGTGCCTCACAGAGGGTGTGGGAACACTTAAATGCTGACATCTCTCTTTCCTCTACAGTCAACAGTTTCTTTGCTTGATGCTCTCTGTTCCTTTTTATAGTCTCCAAACAAAGAAGGAATGATAGTCCAGGTGTGGACAAATCAAGGCAGTTTCCTGTTTAAGATTCAGAAATTCATAGCCCCAAGGAAATGAGTTAAACAGAGGAGATGATAGAGCAAGAGAGATGAAAAACAGAAGCTTCCCCACCTGCTATTTAGTGATTAACTCCCCGATAAGGAAGGCAGAGATGCATTCCAGGAGCTCAGGACTTGCCCAGACAGGGCTCAGAGAGAAAGAGGATTGGGGAGAGTGAAGCTGGGAGATGAAGAGGGAGGAGGGATTGCCCAAAGCACCCTCTGCCACTTCTCTCTCCCAGCTCCTCCATTTCTGGCAGCTCTTAACTGTGCAAGTCTTTGCCCTCTCTTTTGTTCCCCTTACCTCACCTGCTTTGGTCTAGGGAAAGGAATCTGGTAAAGACTAGTTCTGCCACCAACTGGCTGCTTGACTCTGAACAAATCCCTTGCCTTCTCAGATGCAGACCTACTGGCTGCAATTGCCTGAGTTGAAATAACTCAATTCAGAAGCATATGAAAAAAGCCAAGGACAATAACCCCACCTCCTGATTTTAAAAAATTCCATAATGCTGGAGAGCCTGTGGGTGAGCTTCCACGCTCTAGCTCTTGAGTGTGTATATGCCCACCTGCTGGAGAAAACCATCTTGAAAAGTGTGTACTTAATTCATCCGTTGCCAGTGTTACAGTTCTCGCTGTTCTCAGTAGGAAGGGGTGAAGATACTTTCTGCAGAGCCTTCCTTTGTGCAAATGGTACTCACGGCCACGACCAGACCCCCGGTTGTGAACAGAGGGAGCAAGGAGCTGTGGACTGGTTGGGGCTGTGTGGCCTCTCCCCTCCTTAGCTGCTCCTGCTTTCTGTGATTTTGGAGAGGGTGAATCATATCCTTGACAACAGCCCTGTGTTCAGTTTTTCCAGCATGGTGAGGTCAGCACTTTGCCTTTGGGCTTGTGGAATAGGTAGCAGGAGCCATCAAGCCTCAACAGATACATGATCAAGTTACTAATTCACTCTAATTTTCATTTTGCATAGTCTTCCATAAAAAATAAACACGGGACCATGAACAATTATGTGAGGGTGAAACATAAATACTCTGGCAATTAAAAAATGGAAATCATCAGCTTTAAAATTTCCCCAAAAATATAGCCACAGATGTCACACAAACACCAGTCACACGGGGCTGTACAATGCAGACTGTAGACATCGCCTTGTGAAGCGATCACAGATGCAGGCACTGAAGAAATTCTTGCAGCTTAGACAAGCTAGACCTTGGCTGCGTTTCTTCCTTCCTGTCTTTTTATTTTTCGAGAAGGGTGGTGGGGTTGTGCATCAAACTGTTCATTTCAATATGTGATTGCCTCAAAGAATTTATTTCTGACTTAATTTTATTTTCTCACCAACCTAAATCCAATTCCAAAAGCATTTCTTTGAAACCCGAACAATCTGCTTTTGGTTGACGAGTGCTAATAGGTGCAATGCTACCCTATCAGCTTATGAGAGCACCTGCTGAGCCCGGAGCCATGCAGGAAAAAAAGAAATTAAACTGAGTTTGAATTTGTTTCCTTCTAAAATCTGGGTCATAGCTGGACATGTACAGGACACAATGAGAAACAAACTGCATTGTGGGTTCCTATTTTATTTACAAAAAGAAAAACTTAAAAATTTCAAGGTAGAAAATGTTTGTGTCTTGGATATACATCTAATACAGAGGAAATGCATTGGCATGAAAAAACAGATGATGTAAAAAATCTCTTTTCCACACTTCTTTGCTAGTTCTTGTAATAACCAATTATTTCTAGTAAAATATGACACTTATCATTGGCTTTGGACTTTGACTTCTTTCTTCCAGGACACTAGCCTCTCTATTCTTTTGGGTTGCATCGATAGGTGGATTCCCCCGAGAAACTTAACCACATCGGACTATTTTTAATTTGAGAACATTCGATGAACTCTTTTTTAACAGGTGGGAGGCAAACTCAGCCTGCGAGTGTGTGTCATACTCCTTTCTGTGTATGTGTGTAGCACGGAAACTGATGTGTCACTATTAATCCTTTGTGGTGGTGATGCTGGGGATGGAATCCAGGACCTTGCATGTGCTAAGTACAAACTCTACCACCAAGGAACACCCAGCCCCACTAACTAGATCCTGAATAAATCAGATGACAGGGTCAAAAGAGTTGGCCCAATATTGCTTCTTTTCCCCTCTGATTTGTGGATAAAGAGAATGTAGCCATTAACATGAGTATTCTGATAATGTCACTGTCACTGGCTGATAGTTTCCAGGTGGAAGACCATTTCCTTCCTCTGATTCTGTGCGGGCTATTTCTCTTATGTCTGTAAGTTTCAGAGTTCAGCCACTTTTCTGGGCCTCCAATCATTCTTGGACAGGGTAGGGAACAGCAGAGTACCGTCTTGGTGCCATCCAGTCCTCCAGGATACTGTGAAAAGGGGAGCAGATGAGGGACCTAACCTCATGGAGCTTACACTTTCCTGTGAGAGGATAGCTAATCGATAAAATGAGTAACAATCTGAATTCTCAACAATTACATGAAGATTGAAAAAGCACATGTGACAATCAGTGACTGCATGTGGCACTATTTAGATAGAGACAGAACAGCTGCATTCCCTGAGAAGTGGCCTGTGAATAGCCAGGTGGTAAGAGGTAGGGGGGATATTCAGAGAAAAGAGTTGCATACAGAAGAAAGAGAGAAGGAACCACACTGAGAAGGTAAAGTTTAGCACGATTGAGGGACAGGGTCCTACTCACTCCATCCTTGTAGAGGGAATTACAGACCTTTCTAGAAACCAAGTGAAAGATTGTCTTCTGGTAAGGATGGGCATAAGGATCTGGGGTATTTTGTGAAGAATGACTGGAGAATTGATGTCATATGTGAGATTTGCTGGATAAGTTGAAAACTTTACATCTCTGGCCCTTATTTGCCAAAGATAGATTATATACCAGTGGGGGAAGCTATTGTTTCCTCTGGCTCCATTTTCTTTTTGGTACATGGATGTTAGATTGAGGGCTATTAAAATTCTATTTTGGGGCAGACAATCTCTGAACTGTCTAAGGATTAAAGCTAGAGATGGATTTTTCTGCTAAAGAGCATTTTGTTAATGTGGATTCACTTATTAGAATGTTCAGAGCCTCACCCTGGGTGAAAATAAGCAAATGAACTTGGAGTAAGACTTGATCAACTACAACTGGAGTTCAAGGGAGCAATGATCAGACACTATCATTCTAATCTCCTTGATCTAATCTGGGCTAAGATGTTAGTCAGTAGGGAGGTCTTAAAACAGCTAGCCAGTGGAAAGATCCACAACAGGACACATCTCCCAGCGTACACTGAGATGAGGCATCATGCCTACATGCAACTGTGTGGGAGAGGACAGGTCTGATGGTGAGAAGGGCTGGGCAGGGGTCCCAGCATCTTGCTCTTCAATAATAGGTGGCCTCACCTAGCAAAGATTTTCAGTTAAAGGGAGATCCGAACTATAATCTCTCAGCGTCCTGGCATGACGGTAACCTGTAAATCTCACAGTAATGAGCAAAGAATCCTGTAGCTGATTCCCTTCTCAGCTGGGTCTCAGTGGTTTATCAGTTCAGGGTGAAAGAGATTTCAAGTCCAGTAAAAGTGTAAGTTGAGGACATATTGATCACATATACAATTGTTCAGATACATATCTGAATCATCCTAAGTGGGACAAGGCATCTCAAGTGACATGTAATGAATCAGGCGGAGCTCTTGACCTTAAAACACCTTTCATTCCCTGGAACCTAGACCTATATGCAAGTATTGATGATTAAGGGAAGTTGGAGAGCAGGGTGTGATGGGTGTAATGATGGTGTTGTGGATGACTTTACATTTGGAATTGGTCCTCAAGGATGGTTAGGATTTCAAATTCAGAGACGAGGGACAAAGAAGGACATTTCCCACCCAGGGACAGAATGCATAAAAGCTAGGAACTGCACAGAACTGCACAGAACTTCCAGGTAAAACCTCAGTGTATTAGTCTGTAAGGGGAGGAAACTTCAGAGGTTTAAGTGCTAATGTGAAGAGTGCGGTAGGCTGGAACTGCCCCTTTACAACACAGCTGCTTTGGACCTTAGCATTTCCCAGCTGACATTTCAGAAGCACAGCACCCTCTTTTCCTCTTCAGCCAGACCCAAATGAGGAGCCTACAGAGAGGCTGGGCTGTCTTTCTCTGCCACTGTACCTTCACTATTTGTGATCAGAGGATCTTTCAAAGTTGGTCTGTTTTGGATCTCTGATGATGTGC